AGGAGGAGGAGGAGAAGAAGAAGAAGAAGAAGAAGAAGAAGAAGAAGAAGAAGAAGAAGAAGAAGAAGAAGAAGAAGAAGAAGAAGAAGAAGTTGTTGAGATAAGTTATGTGGCTCGCCTAATTTCAGCAGCTTGGAAGCTTCCTAGCTTCTACAGCTCTTGTTATCCAGTTGTACACCATGGTAAGAACAAACAAAACAAAACAAAGCTCCCACAACAGTCCTCCAGCTTATTAGTTCCATCTGGTCAACCTGTGGCACAGATCTTGCAAGGCTCTGGGGAATTTATTAAAACTTTGAAAAAGGAAAACAAACAAGAAAAGCTAAATCAAATAACTAAAGAAATACATGCCTTGTTATTTGGTGACTTTAAAGGTTGGCAGGAACATGCATTACCTTATTGATATCCCACAGGACCAATCTGCTTTTCCGCTTTGCAAATTCATACGCAGTCAGTCTGCCTATTCCGTGTCCAGCCCCAGTGATGAGAACAGTCTGTCCGGCCACAGATTTTCTTCTCCGGGGAATGAAAAACTTTACCAGTGACTCCAAGTAGGAGTAGATGATGATGCCTACCAGCAGGAGAAGTTCTAGGACAATGTGCATGGTTCCACACCACCCTCTCCCTTCGGCTCTGTTCTCAAAACAGACACCTCTGCACAGAGCTCCACAGAGAGTCCTGTCAGGTATTACAGGCTGCAGGAGGTGAGGTAAGCTTTGCCTTCTGCCCCTGACAAATCAGATGCACCTTTGGGTTTTGAAATGATGCCAGTTTCTAACGAAGGCTCAGCACAGGTCAGGGAACCCAGCAGTATGTGCCCTTTGGACCAGCTTATCGGAGAAGCAGTGTACCCTGTTTCAACATGAAGCTTCACCTCTCAGAGTTATTCTGGAAATATTGCGTCAGCTAATGGTCTATTCTCATGGAAAGAACCGACTGTTTCATAGAACCTAAAATTCTCCTCAACCTCAGGGTTGCCATGTAAGCTTTGTCACCTGAGTCTGAGCCCCAGAATCCACAGTGGAAGTGGAGAACCAACTCTACATGCTCCCCCCCCAACACGCCATAAAATAAAAATGAGGAACCTAAAATATGGTTCAACAAAGCTTAGCTGTTCAACTCATGTGTTCACAGAAGTTCAGCATTCAAGTTGTAACCGTCCTCTGCAAAGCCCCCGAGGCTGAGAAGAATGTTAGCTTATAGGCAACAGCTCTCTCCATGATAACACTGGGAACATCAGGAGACCAGGTGTTACAAATCCCCTCTTAAAAGTGCTGGGACCTCTGTCTTGGCCCAGGCTGTGGTAACCAATCCTGTGGGCTAGGTGGCTTATTGCTCCGAGTCCTAGAGGCTGTGTAGGCCAGGGTGTAAGTGTGCTGTGTGTTGAGTGGGAACTGGCCCCTTGGCTTACAGACAGTGTCACCTCACTGTCAGTACATATAACAGAGTGAGGAAGGGGTTCTCTGTGGTCACATTTATAAAGGCCATAGGTGATCATCGTGACTAAATCACCTCCCAAAGTTCCTACATCCTAATGCAATCATATTAGGAACTAGATTTCAGCATATGAAATTAAGGGGGACTCACTCAGGCTAGAGTAATTTCTACTAATGAAAAAAAAAATGAAAATAAACCCTGTCCATCAGTGGGTGGGTACATAAATAAAATATATTGGGCATATATACAATGGAATGATATTCTTCCTTTTAAGGAAGAAACTCAGATACGTACTACAACATGATGATCCTCAGTGATAACATACAAAATGAATACACCAGACACAAAAGCACAGATGTTTTATGACTCCTAAGAGAGTCACATATAGAGACAGAAGGCAGGAGGATGGCTGATAGAGACGAGGTGTGAGGGGAATGGGGTGTTACCATTTAAAGAGTACCATCTCAGGCCCAGCTGATAAGCGTTCTGAAACGGACCGGACCGTGGTGGCGGCCGCAGCAGTGGGAAGGCGCTAATTGCCCCTTAACTGCACATTAAAGTGTGGTCAAAGTGGTAAACTTCAGCTCACACACGTGGGACTCCAGCCACCCCATTTATTTTCTCTGTGTTGCATTTCCCTTATCTAGACCATACAGGTTCAGAATAAAGCATGCTTTATCAAGCACGAACTTCCAGCACATACCATGGACTCAACACACATCCACACCAGAGCTGTAGGAAGCTGGGTGCATAGCACTTCCTGTAATTCCAGCCTTCAGGATGTAGAGACCTGAGGATTGAAAGTTTTAGACAAGCTAGGAATAACAATGAAATTCTATATCTCTATCCACAAAGCTCCCCAACAAAGCCGAAAAGCAGAAAAGAATGAAATAAAAAGCGTGCACGCAGACATGCAGACGTACATAGACACACCCATGCAGCATGCAAGAAATTTTGCAAGTAGTAAATGGTTATAGAAATCAAGTAAATAGTAATGGTTTGAAGTTATCAAGCCCATTTTTAGGCATATATTTATTTACTCCCCACAGGCTGTGTTTGGTGAGATATTATTAAAGTCTGCAGTGGGAGCTGGAGAGATCCGGTTTCAAACAAAACAAAAAACAACGAACAAAACCTTCGACTCTATGTCTTGGAGCTGGAGAGCTAGCTCAATGACAGGAGCGCTTGCTGCTCTCCCAGTGGACCTGAGTTCAGTTCTCAGGACCCACATTTGGCAACTTACAACCTGAAACGCCAGCTTCAGGGCACCTGACACCTTCTCTCATTCCTGCTCCTGGTGCCTGAACACACATGTCACAGAAACACACAAACACATAAGTAAAAATAATAAATCTTTAGTGTTTTCTTTGACTGACGAATCTATTTTCTCTATCGTGTCTTCAGTGTCAGAGATTCTCTGTTCCATCTCTTGCAATCGGTTGGTTATGCTTGTTTCTGTAGTT